GGCTCCGAGGACTCTAAAAGAAAATAAAGCGCATCGATCCCATTTGTTTCGGGGCTGCAGTTTCTTCATAATATTCAGGTGGAGATTTATTTTCCAAGGAGAAGCCGATCCGCCGGGATACAACCTCTCTCTCTGAACGTCCCCGCGGGCTCTCCCCCCGGCGTTCCGCCTCCCGGTTCCGGGGCCTGTGGCGTCCCTCCGCCCCCTTCCTTTTTTGCTTTTTGGCAAAAACCGACTGTCATATTCTCTTGCCGAGTTCACAAACTCCCCGACGGCGGCGCCCAATTGATTGACTAGTTGTAAACATATCCATTACCCCCGCCCCCGGCGGATTTGGTTGTTGTCCGCCCCATTTTCCAGGGAACGCGTGGCATTTAAGCCAACAGAACTGCCATGCAATGAATAGATTTGCCAGTAGCCGGGTGCGCCGCCTGCCCCGGCCTCCTGGCCCCCCGGCCCAGTGCCCACCCAGCGCCCGCCCGGCTCGGGGAGCAGCCCAGCTGGTCCCGCAGGTGAAGGAGCCCGGAGTCCCGGAGCCCCCGCTGCACCCGGGAGCCCCTACCTGTTGGGGAACAGTTGGGACTCGAGGCTGGAGGATTCATTAGGGACCTGCTGTTTTCTGGGCGGCACAAAGCTCACTCGGGTAGAAGCATCCAAACCTTTGCAGGCCGCGCTATTTTATTTTTACTACAATTTCTCGGGTTGTAAAAATAGTCGCCAGGCGGGTTCTTTCTGAGAGTTTTCTAGCCAGGAGCGAATTCAAGGCCGGGCAGCCTCTATAACAGGTTTCTTTTACATTACAGCCAGAGGTGAGCCGGGAAAATGTGGTCCCCTCCCCCTCATCCATCTCCATCTAGAGCTCTTCAGCCAGCCAGGGGGGCAGGGGCCGCCTCCTTAATTCAGATTTACGACCTGGGCCTGGAGCTCAGGGCGCCGGCTTCTCCCGGGAAGGTGCTGAGTCGCCAAGCCCCCTGGGGACCATGCCCGCCCTCCCAGTTTGTCCTGCGGGCAGGAATGCGTCTGTGTCTGGGTGGAGAATGGGGTTTCGTGCACTGGCTGGAGGGGGTGTCGGGGGAGCTGGCTGGTTGCACCATGCTGCAGCCCTTGGGGGACTTAGATGCAATGATTGCCGACATGAGAACCGGCATACTTAGTAACGCAGGGCTTCTGCTGTGACTCACGGCGGTGACCTTTGCCCTGTTGGCTCCTGTTTCTGGTCGGGCTCCCACGCTGGCTGGACCTCCTGGTGATGTATATCTATCCCCTGCCGGGGAGCACAGCACATTACCGGGCTCGTGTTTTTCGCAAGAGGACATCCGTATTAGTCACATCTATTTGGGCTTTTTAAGATAATTGCCAGTAGCTTAAAATAGGAAAGCCATAATCATAATAGTGATCCGTTTATAAACAGCCCCTCTGCGGATGGTTGCAAAATGTTGGCCTCGATCAGAAAACCCAAATGACAGAGTGTTGTCACTTCTGTTGAAGGCTTCAGCGTCCCTCGTTTCTTAGGGTTGAAAATGAAACTCGCCACCTTCGAGTTTGGAGAGCTGTTTATCCGACCGTTGGCCCGCTCCTGGCCCGCTGTCTACCTGTACGCACAGCCCATCGGCGCCAGGGGTACAATCGCAGCTCCGCTTTGACTGGTCGGTCAGGGTGTTTTAAAGCCACCATTCATTCTTGGCTGCTGGGGATGTTTTAGGGAGTCGCCGGCCTCAAGCAAGGGCACTTCTGCTGGCCTAACGCCCCCATTAAGCGAGGAGAAAACGCACCACCTTTTTAATAATGTGCCGGGCCTCCAAATGTGCAACTCCAATATTAATAAAAATAACCCAGCTTCCTCAGAGACCTCGCTAATGCAGCCTCATTTTTTGCACATTTTGCCAGAGAGCTTTTGTTCTTATGCATCTCTGTCCCCCCTTCTTCTCTTTTTAATTTGTTGCAGGTGTTGTTGCTAATGAGCTCTCCTTCCCTCTTCCCATGAAAGACAAGCCAGACCCCGAGTACCCGCATGGATGGGGCTGAAGTCCCAGAAACTTCATAATAAGTTGCCAATGGCTACCAGCCAAGGTCAGCCGGCCCCCGCTCGTGCCGGTCCCCACCAAGGCAGAGCCCAATAAGCTGCTCCCCAGTTAACACCTCCGTCGCTTTTTTATGTTCCAGTCCAGCCACACAATCGTTGTCACTTTCAACTCACATGAAAAGAAATCTCTTTTATGGGTCTGAGATGCCAAGTCCAGTCCCGTAGAGGGACCAGGTTTCCAGCTCACCCGTCCACCTCCTGATTTCATTTCATCTTTACAACACAGGCCGGAGGGTTGTTTTGCGGGAGTGGTGAGCCCATCACACATGAAGGGCCCTTTAAAGACCAGGACTGGCTGGAAGGACAGAAATTAAAGGCACTCTGATCCGGCCCCATGCCAGCTCCCCGCGGATTGCCTCCCGATCCCATTTCCATCCACTGTCACAACCGGAGAGTCTGCCTGAGTTGATCAGGTTCCCCTGCGGGAGAGGGGGAATGCCAAGGTCAGGAGGACTCCGAGTGATGGGCCACTGTTTGATCTGCCCATCAGCAGTCTGAGAAACGCTGGCTCCGAGGTTTCCTCCCGGCCTTTGGGGAAAAGCAAGTTCCTCGCTGCTCCCCGGCAGCGCCGTTCCCTGGGACCTCCGCCTCCACCGCCTGGCAGATGCGGCCTGTCCATGCTGAGGCCTCGAGCCCCGCCTGACCCAGCCGCCGCCTCTCCAGGGCCCCTCTGGGCCGCACCCCCCGGACTGCACAGCCATGCTGGGCCTGCTGGCTCTCCTCCTGCACTGCCTCCCGCTGGCCGCCGGGGACTATGACATCTGCAAATCCTGGGTGACCTCGGATGAGGGCCCCACCTGGGAGTTCTACGCCTGCCAGCCCAAGGTGATGCGCCTGAAGGACTATGTCAAGGTGAAGGTGGAGCCCAAGGGCATCACATGCGGAGACCCCCCTGAAAGATTCTGCTCCCACGTGAGTCAGCCCACTAGGGCTCTGTCTGCTCGGGCCAGTGGGAGGGCGTCTGGGACGGACCCTGGGGATGGGTGAGCTGAGTGGGGGGCCGAGGCAAAAGGTTGACTTGAATGCAGTTTGGAAACATGCCAAAGCGAAGGCCGCCCTGAGGACCCTGGGATCATGTGACATTATTCTCTGGGGTGGGGAAGTTTCTGCCCAGTGGACCGCTGGATCCTTTTCTCTTGGGAAAACCATAGTTGTCACAGTCCCAGCCTCCCAGCTATGCCCCGCCCACAGGAGAAGCCCCACCCACCAGACAAGCCCCGCCTCCCTGGTAGGAAGTCTGCATTCTGGGCAGTGAGCAAGGCTACCTGCTGACCTCCCTCTGCTCGTCCCTTCTGCCTCCCTATCCCACCTGATCCAATCCAGCAAACAGTGTTGCCAGGCCAGGGTATGCCCAGCTCGCAGCTGGCCCTTTGCAGCTGGTGGGTGATGGAAGGGCAGAGGGAGGCAGGAGGGGTCAGACCAGGATGGCAGTGTGGCTGGTGCCCTTTCCAATTCCATCCCCACGTGCCACGGGGTATGTCAGTGCTCAGGTAATGTTAACAACAACAGTAATAATAGCAGGAGTCATACATGCAAGCTCCCTGAGTGTGTGGGCTTGGAGCTCGACATGCGTCATTCCATGGAGTCCTCCCCTCAGCGCAGCCAGGTTGACTGTGCTCCCAAAGTAGGAGTTGTGGCGGATGGCTCTGGACCAGTGGCATCTCTGGGCCTCTATTCCACCATCTGTGAAATGGGCACGCTAATAGCACACTCCGGTCATTGTAAGGAATACGTGAGCTAATTTGTATGTGTAACATGCTCAGGTTAGTGTCTGGCACAGAGCACGTGCCCCTAGATATTAGCTGTTGCCATTCCCATCATACAGATAGAGAAACTGAGGCCCACACACACCAGGAAGTATTCTGGTCCCCAAGTCACTGAGCTAAACCACCTTCTGAGAAGTGCCTTCCCCACTGGGCTTGTTCTGGAGGCTCAGGGCTTGGCAGGAGGCCGGGCAGGGCAGCCAGGCTGCGGGAGCTCACGGGAGGGGCTCAGCATTAACCTCAGGCTGTCTGCTGCCTCCGTGTCCTTGCGGGGAGGGCCTCCCAATCTCTGGGTTTATGGCTGGACTGAGCTGGCGTCCCTGCCAGGCTCCTGAGGAGGCCTCAGCCCCAGGGGACACTTCAGTCCTCTCCCAGGGCAGACAGCCCAGGCAGGCAGGTCCCTGCTCGGTGGTGAAGTCGTGAGCTGTCACTGTGGGCAGTGGCTGGGCTGGGGAAAGAGGGACGGCAGAAAGGCTGGGAGCTGGGGCCGGAGAGTCTGTGGGGATGAAGGCCCTGGGGACCTCAGAGCGGCACTGGCTCAGGGACGGGCAAGGAGGCTGAAGGTCAGGGGCAAGGCCCGGGGGAGCCCAGCTCTGTCCGCACCCCAGGCTGGCTGCCCACCCAGCTCAGGTGAGGACTTCTGTGCACACTCCCTGGGCAGCGTCAACCTCTGCTTCTCTCTCGGATTAGCCTTAACCGTATTTCTTCTCTTAAATATTAATCATTTCCTGAATGTGCTGGCGGGGGGAGGGGCAGGCAGCTAAATCGTCACTCACTGGGCCAGCTTCTGGTCAAGGACCGGAGGAGAGGAGATGACCATCACAGGCAAGTCCAAGGCCTCTCCCGGCCAAGGCTGCTGGGATGCCCTTGGCCCTGGACCTCCGCCCTCCACAGAGAGCCCAGCGCAGCTGCCAGGGTGGCTGGTCACCCCCAGAGTCCTGATGCCGTGCAGCCCGAGCCCAGGCAGTGCCCTCGAGCCCTGGGCTTGAGAAGAGGCTTCTGACCCCTGCTTTCCTCCTGGGGTGACGGGAGGAGGCAGGGGAGCAGAGCTCTCAGATCCCCTCATCGTGGGTCCTCGGGGTCTGATGGACGCAGCTGCTTCATTCCAGGCGGCCAGCGGGTCTGTCTTTGGTGGCAGACGTGCAGCCCAGGAGGGTGGGGACGCTGCCTGGTTGGGTGGAGGGCAGGCTGCCTTGGGCGGGGGCCTGGCTTCCGCAGGGAGGAGGGGTCCCACCCAGATGGATTCAACCCCCCACACCCTCGTTGATTGCAGCTCCTCCCAGCAGGGCCTGTTGTCTCTAGGATGCTGTGGCGCCAGTGCCGTCCTAATCCCAGCTCAGGGATTAGAAGGTGTCGCCTAAATCCTGCCAAGGTCACTGGGTCTAGAAGGCGGCTGGGAACTCACCCACCGGGTGGCTGGGTCTCCCCTCTCCCCGCTTAGGGTCCCTGCTCTGCCATGGTGCCGGGCCAGGACGCAGCCGCCCCTGGTGTCCTGGTGCAGTGCTGGCACATAGTAGCTGCTCAGTGTGCGGTACTGTTATTTGCTTCCTGTTGTTGTCGTTGTGCCCTTGGCGGCGTCCGTCCCTGCCTTTTCTTCTCTGCCTCACTTCTGCCTGAGGAGTTCCAGTGTCAGGGTGCAGGCCGGCCTTGGATGCTAGGCAGCTTCACCTCCTCCAGCCCAGCAGGTGTTGTTAACCGGCCACCAGGGGGCGCCCCAATGATCCCTTAACCTAGCCATGGCCCAGTGGGTCCCTATGCCCAGGCAACCCTCCTGCAGCGGGAGCTGGGCTGTCCCAACATCCAACCACCTGGAGCCTGAGGCCCAGAGCACCCCGAGGGTGAAGGGGGGCCCAGGGGTGGCTGCCCTTTTCAGGGTTGGGGTGCCGACCCTCTCCGCCCCAGGCTTTGTCCTTCAGCAAAGCCACCTGAGAACTGAATTGTAAATTCCAGCCGGTGAGGAAGGGCAGGGAGAAGGAAGACCAAGATAAATGAATAAATAGAAGCCTATTGGCTCGAAATGCACAATGAGAATTAATAGGGATGAGCTGTCAGCGAGGGTTCTCGGGCAAGGGCAAGGTTTCAACAAGAGGAGACGCCCCAGCCCTCATTCCCGCCCGGCCGGGAGGGCCGCCTGCGCGGCTGTGGGGCCCAGGAGAGGCGGGGGAGGCGGTGCTCAGAGAGGCCTCTCAATCCTGGAGGGCGGCTGCCACTCCGGACCCCGATGGGTGGGGGGTGCCAGTGGGCAGGAGGAGCTTGCTCCCAAAGAGGTGGCAGCTGCCGTGAAAGGAAGGAGGATACCCTGCCCTGCCCTTGTGCCTTTGAGACGAGCGCTAACCCTGAGCTTCAGGAGAGAGATGGTGAGGAGAGGGGAGGGCATAGCACCAGCCACAGACCAGGCAGGTGACGTTCACAGCGATCCCACCGCTCCCCACTTGCTACCCAAGTGTGGTCCTGGGCCCAGGAGCCTGGCCGCACCTTGCTGGGCATGCAGAGTGCCGGTCCGCCCAGGGCCGAGCGGAAACTGCTAACCAGGGACGGATGCAGGCAGGGCGTGGCCTGGGAATGCTGCTTCCCTCCCCGGTCAGGGTCACCGACGGCGGACGTTCCCAGGGGGCCTTTCGGGTTAAGGGGGCCGTCGCTGCTGAGGGAGAAAGACACGGAGGGCAGGGTTCCCGGGAGTGAGCGGACGGAGCCGGGAGCCGAGATCCCTGAATGCTGGAGACAGATAGAAGGTTCCAGAGAGAGGAAGGCCTGATATCCCAGCAAGAGCCACAGGCCTGGGATCTGAAGACCTGAGCCCACATCCCTCGGATGTGGTGACCTGGGGGGAGGTCTGTAAACTGTCTGAGCCTCAGTTTCCCCATCTGTGATGAGGGACAGTCTGGCTGCCGCGCCTACCCCACCAGCTTCATCTCTCAGAACACCTCCTGCGCGTCAAGGGCATGCGCTTGTTCCAGTGTGAGGCTTCCTATTACCATCTATCCAGGCTAGTGTTTTTATTGATTTCAGAGAGGAAGGGAGAGGAATAGAGAGGTAGAAACATTGATGAGAGTTAGAAACATCGGTCAGCTGCCTCCTGCACGCCCTACAGCTGCCTCAAGCCCGAAACCCGGGCCTGTGCCCTGACCGGGAATCGAACCGTGACCTCCTGGTTCCTGGGTCAATGCTCAACCACTGAGCCACACCGGCCGGGCTCATTTATCCAATCTTGACAATCCTGCCTCTTCCGTGGTGACGTGGACGGACATTGAACATCGTTTCAGGGGCGCTAGCACACAGGGCCTTGGTCTTGGTAGACGGGGAAGCCGTGAAAGCACATCTCTAAGCACACACCTTCCTCAACACCTGCTTTACCTTCTCTGTGCCTCGGTTTACCCAGATGCAGAGCAAATGGCCCCTCGTCCTTCCCCCAGGGGGTCTGCTCAGCTGAGGTGGGTCTTGGAGGCCTCAAGTCCCTCCCCACCGTGACATTGAACGACACATGGGACCAAGGTCACACCTCCTGCCCGACCTCCACGTTCAGAACGTGTTTCCGATGTGACCAGCCCCCTGGCCCAGCCCCCTCCCCGCTCTCACCCTGGCCCCAAACCCACAGAGGCAGGGTGGGACCCCCTCCCAGCCTCCCTCCCTCGGGCGCGCCTCTCCAGCCCTAGACCTGAGGTCTGACCTCACGCCAGGCACGGTCGTGAGGAAAAGCGAGATGATAACTCTTGCAAATCCAAGTCAGCAACAGGAGAAACGCAACAGACGTTAGAGACAAAGGCCGCCCGGCTCCCCCAGCCCTCCCGCCGTTTCCCCTCCTTGCCTGTCTCCTCCGCCTCCGCACCTTCCTCCGCTTCCTCATTTCCGGGGCTTCCCTGCATCACCTGCTCCAGGAGGCTGCCTGCTGCCCAGCCCAGGTGGGTCAGAGCATCCCCACCTGGGCGCCTCCCTGTCACTGTTCTCACGGAGGCGGCCCATTGGGTAAGAGGTCAGGCCCTGAGGGCAGAGAGGTGGAGGTCAGCATCCCCTGCTCGGTGACCTTTGACATGAGGCTAACCCCTCTGAGCCTTCGTTCCTTAAATCGGAGCTATTAATAGAATCCACATACGGGCCTGTCATGAGCAGTGCCTGGCACGTAGTAGATGCTCAATTCACGTGAGTTATTAT